ATGAAAGGGAAATATCTGCAAAAATGACATCGTCCATAATTTACTCTGATTATTTATTAAATGTTCTATTTGGAAAGTATATGTTCCAGAAATGAAAGATATAAGAATAGGCTTTTTGTTGCAATCAATAATAAAAGAAAAGATACAAGTAGAAATAGAGTAAATCATCTAAAAAAAAGATATATCTTGGGTTTTGATTCGATGCATTTACCTAGTAAGGAGTGGGATATAAATCTACTTTTACTTTATAGCCAAATCACGATTATTTTAGAAAACATAATCTAGAAAGTATGATTATATAAGCTTCACTTAGGAATAGATTCTGTAATTAGAAATCAAATATTTTAGGAAGATTAAATCTCTCGATTTGACTTATGGGAAAAGGTCAGAATAATAGTAAAATTACAATAAAACAATATGACCTTTGAACTTTACAATGGTCATATTGTAGTCCTTATTTGTAGTTCTTAAAATTTAATATTTTTTTTTTTATCATCATTAATAAATGTATTTACATAGCCAATATTAACAGCAATTTTGAATAATATAAAAAGAATCAATGTGTCTTGTTTCTTAATTTAAACAGTCTACTGAATATCAGACAATTAGAGAAGAAGGTTATTTTAATCGCAAATTAGATAATATAATATTAAAAATTAGTTCTTTAATAGGAGAAATTAGTTATTTGAATTTTGGAGATTAGAATAATATAAACAAAAAATTCATGTATCATTTGAGGAGCGAAGCATAAAATTTTATTAGTATAAAGAATCAATTATTAAACTTATAATAGTTTAAAACAATTAACTCATTTATAAAGTACAACTATACAAAACAGAAATTATAGTGAGATTCTAAATTAAAGAAATCGGTAACGGTTGAGTATTTAAAAAAAAACAATAGCTAAATATTAATGCTGAAAGAAGTATTTATACTTCAAGCACAACAGTAATGGCTTTTTGGAATGGATGGATAGAATACAATTGATAGCATAACAATCCCTTAAAAGAATAATTTCAGGTGGTCAAATTTAATCTTGTTGGACAAAAATGCAATGGCAATGATCGTTATTTTTTGTTAATTGAAAAGCGTCATAAGAGTAACCTCCTAATTGATTGTTCCAAATTAAAAACATAATGAATTATAATTCTAATTTCTGAAAAACCTTAAAACGACTTGTTTCATTAGGTTTTCCTTGGTTTTGGACAAACATTATTGGAAAAAAACTATTCTCTTAGTGGGATTGCACTTACACTTCCTCAGCATGAGTGAAAGCGACACATTATCAGTTTGCAATCTAAATATTAAAAGAAAATCATTATGTAATTTTTTAAAGAACAAAGCTTCTAGTATTCCTTATATCACAAATGAATGATTAAATAGATAGAGGTATATGGTGTTGTCTAATGTATTATTATTTTAATGCATCCTACCTATTTTTGGAAAGCAGAGTATTGTTATCTATTTTAATAAATAAATTTTACCTGATTTTATACTAAATATCCAATATATAGATAAATCTCATAATTAATATCTCATCCTATAGATTAATGAAAATTCAAAGGATCTAGATTTTCTATATACTCCTACATAGTATATCAGAAATAATAGATATACTCATTTTTAATTAATCAAACTTAATATGCAGAATTTTTATAAAAAGGAATGCTTGTTTAAATGAAATTAGTTTCATGTAAATATTCTAGATATTCAATTTATATTTATCTTTTATATAACTATTTAATAAAAGAATTAAATTGAATTCGAATTCTTAAGCAGGCTGAGAATTCCACCTCGAAAAGGTCTTGATATTTCAGATTTTGCGATTTAGTATGTTAATGATACGATTTTAGTTTTAAAATATAGTGGTAGTATTTCTCAATTTATATATTTGATGCCACTTTCTGCTCATTGATAAATAGGTTCCGCCTACCAGCAACAATGCTCATTTATTAGATTAGATCTATATCATTTATATTCTAAGTTTCTCAGACTAAGTCATCAGCATAACCTGAAAATCTGTCCTTACACTAATTAAATTGAAGAGGTTCTTTAAATATTCATCAAGGGGAGATCCCTATAGTACTTCTTTGAATAGTTGAATTTTGGGTAATGGTATATGGAATAATAAATAACATTCTGATATGTAAGGCCTAAAATACTCTATTTAATTTTGCTTCAAAATATAATGTTTTTGTAATTTTTTAATTTGATCCTCAAATTTTTTTATAGGCAATTGAGAAAAATATTCAATTATCCTTGCCTTGATTGTTCAACCCATATAAGTGTCAAAAAATTTTTATTTAAATACCATTGATGATCTGTTTAGGGTTTTATATACCATTAATGAGGTAATCTTATTATTGAGAATGGAAACTTAATTCTAAAAATTTGTGGATTCATTTTTGATAATGGGCAAAATCATGTCCATCTAATCTATTTTTTATTTGGAATTTATTCGGCTTCCATAAATTTTAAAGCAGTTCCCAAGAAGATTTCTGGATGAATTAATGAGTTAACCCATCATAGGAGGTGGTTTGTCCTTATCCATTAATCTTTGTATTTTTTAGGCTTTTCCTTAACTTAGTTTTTCGAGGATAGGAATGTTCATATTTTTGTAGTTTAGAATATTGGGCTATAATTTTAATTTGTAAATATATCTTCCCAGTATGTAATTTTTCATTATATATATGTAACAGTTAAATAACTTTCCATATATTTCTTTGGTAATTCATAATAACATTACTCCTTTTAATAAGATTATAAATCTGCTTCTATCACCTTTAAACAATCCTTTGCAATTCTTCTCAATTAAAACATCCTTTCATGTCGATGTGTCTGTGTTGGAAAAAAAATATAGAAAATTATTTGCAGGAAGGATAGTTTAGCAAAATCAATGTTAATAACAATTCCTAATGTATTTCACATCTTAAATTAAAATGTCATTATATTGCACAGATTGACTGATTGTTTTTGGTGGCAAATGATTAAAAACATTTACAAATGCAGAATTATGATATATAAATTAAGTAAACTATTTGATGAGTAAATATTAATACAGCCTGTACTTAAATCATAATAAATTAGAGAACACATTTGGAGCTTTCAATTATCTTTTCGGTTTGAATCATTGTATATCTCGAATCCTTCTAAATAAAATTAAACATGAAAATCATTCTATGGTAAATCTTTTGATTTTGTTGAAATTTGAATATTTGAGATGAACAAGGATTAAAAGAAATAATCTCTTATACTAAAAATTCATTTCATCAGATGAAAAACACTTTTGGAATATGTGAGTTCAATAATAAAAACACAAATAAATTAATTATGAAAAAAGGAGAGATTTAGTGATAATTCCAATCAAAATTTACAAATTGAAAATACTCCCTCCATTTTACTATCAAATTTTATAATGTAGACTTTCCAACTTCAAAAAATAGGGAATTAAATATAAATTTCGATCCAAAATTTGAAATTGTAAAATATGAAAATTAGAACTAATGCATGTCAACTTATGAGAAAGGCCTTTAAATAGAACTACTTTACTTAAAGGTCTTTATTTTTAATCTGTAACTTATAGCTTGGCATACAATATCGTATATTAATCCCAAAAGAAGATAAATTGTAAATTTAGCTAAAATAAATAAAATTATTTTACAAGGCGAATATAAATATTAAGATGTAAGATTATAAAATGAAAACAACTGCCATTTAAACATAAAAAGGATCCATCAGAATCAAAATTACTTAAAAATTCTAATAGAGTATTTTGATTATGCCATTTAGTATAAACCTGAAAAGTCAGATTATTTTAATGGAAAAGGTATTTAATTTGTTGAGCAATGACTTTAGAAGACTTAAATCGATTCACAGAAGCTTTAGAGTTTTATAATTATGCATCTTAGAAATACCCAAATAATTTATAAGATGAAAACCAAATGGTATTAATTAATAATACAATACAGAAATTTTCAAAGGAGAATAATCCCAAGTCCATTTTTGAAAACAATTAAGTTCATATACAATAATTAATAAATGTTCATTTTATTACATTTATTTGGTTTTGGTTGTAATTTCCAGTAGCCCCCCCTTTTAAATTAATTACTTAAAACAGGATCTTGAAAGTGAAGAACTCTATTGTTGACAGGGTGAATTTATAAAAAATTTGTTTAGAGATTTACTTATTTAAAGGTTACTAATAATCAGAAAAAAATTGAATTGGGTTTAATCTGTATTTATTTAATTCTGATTAAATTGGAAAAGAATATCTGGTTAAGCACACTTGATTTTTATGTTTTTAATTTAGTAATCACCAATATTGATATTGACATGTTGATTAAAAAATTAATATTAAGTGTATTTACAATATTTCAGTTTTAGTTCCCAATAAAAATATCAAATATATCGAATAATTAACTATCATTAATATTTTTTTTAAATCAAAAGTACCATGGATATGTAAACAATAATCACAAATGTTTCTTACCAGATAAATATAGAAGAATGCATGGTAGCCATTTAAAATAATGTTGAAGTAAATAATTATTTGACGATTCAATAGTCTTCGTTCAAAAATATTGAGGCTTATATTGATTCACTTTTTAACTAGACTTCTGATTCTTTAAATATTGATATTTAAAAGTCTCTTAATACATCATCTTGTGGATCTTCAATTTGTTGTACTTAAACTAAATTTGTGAATGTGTGTTTTGCCTAGTAACTCTATTAAGACATATCACCATATATCGCAACTAAAATTAAGTCTTAATTACTATTCAAAGATGAATCCTTAAATTAAAAAAATTAGTAAATAGTTAAAGACCTTCAATAAGATATTAGTGAAAAATCATAAACAGTTAAATCTTTTCATCAATAAAATTTCAAGCCATTCAATTATTAGCTAATCTAAGAATATTCAATTTCATAAAATGAGAGTTGTTTGGCAATTGCTATTAATAAAGATTGTTCAACATTAGTGGCTGGATCTGAATCACAAATTAAAGTCTTTGAATTTAAATAAGGAGTGATGAAACTATTTTAATGTTTATGTGAACATCAGAAAAAGGTTGTTACTTTAAATTTCATGAAAAAATCGAATTAATTCATATCTGGGAGTTATGATAATTAAATAAAAATATGGTAAAGAGAATAAAACAACTAATGGAAATCCTAATAGACATTAAATGGGCACATTAATTATATCTATTGTTAACTATTAAATGATAATGAAGATCTAATTATATCAGGAAGTTATGATGGGAGTATTAAATTTTGGACGAAGAAAAAGGAATGGCTTTGCTCTTAAACAATTACAAATCATTCTGGTAGTGTATATGGGTTATGTTTGAATTAATAATAAAATAAAGTAGTTTCTTGTGGCAGTGATAAGCTGATCTTAATAATTGAATAATCTGAGTTTAATAAAGAATGGATTGTAATTTAAAAAATTAAAGATGATTAAGGGTGTCGAGTTTGCTTTTGTGATAATAATAAATTCATCTTTTCACTATTCAAAAAAGAATTAATCTCTATTTTTGAACTGAAAAATTAATTTAACAAAACTAAATAGATATCTGTAAAGTGTGGATCAGATGGTTGGTCTTTCTTTCCTTAATAACTTATCAATTCAAAATCCATCATTGTTAGTAAGAATGGCGAATATGTCAATTTAATTAGGAAGAAATAGGATGGAGACTTATTAACTGAATAATCTATTCACTTTGGAACTAATACTTTATTTGGAACCATGAGTGATGACGGAGAGTATTTAATAACTTGGGATGGCAAATCATAATAAATATAGGTAAGAATATTTTAAGAAAAATGAAATATATATAATATTATCTTTGATTTATAATTTTAAATTTTTATTCATGTTTTTTTAAGTTTATCCAATTAAGATAAATTATTTTAAAAGTATAGTAAAAATATTGAGTCGTAATACAATTAAAATAAAATATGTTATTTTTATTGGGAAATTACAATTTTAATTGTAATATTTTTTGATACTTAATATCAAAAAGTTAATAGTTAGTTGAAAATTTAATGTTGTTCAATTTTAAATTTAATGGAATATTTCCATAATTTTTTCATCATTCAATATTAAATCAGATAATCCTTATTATATAAAATGAGATTTATTTTCTTCTTATGATCATATTAAAACTCTTTATCAAGGTGAAAATTAAAAACTAGATAGCCCAATGAATATATCAAAAGGAATAATTGGCTATAGCTGAAATAACTTAAAATCATCATATAACTCAACATTGCTCAATAGTCTAGCATATAAAGGTTGATGAAAATCATTTTAAAAGACTATTCTAAACACGAACAAACTATTTTTTTTATATCTAATTATTTTAATCTGTTGATTTCTTTATTTATTTTGCTTACAATCTTTTCAACCCCTGAGACAATTAAGACTCTGATTTAAAAATAAAATAACCTAAAGAGTTAATAAGGCTTCATAAGAATAACAAGAATGCATCTTAATTCTGGCATACTAAATATATTACTACTGTGCGAAATAATAAATTCTGAAGTATAACTTAAGATTTTTAATCCTCTTTTTATAAAAAGGAGGCATATAACTAAATTAAATCTATTAATCTTATACAATTGAATATCTCCTCTTCTTAATCATTTCTGACAAAAACTTAACGAAACTTACTTTTTTCTTTCTCAATCCTTAACCAATTATTGGAAATGTAGTCGCCAGTCGATATTGACATGAAATATTTTATAATCTATAGATTAACTCCTTTTCTTGTTTTAATTGATCTGTAATTAAAATAACAATTGAATTTATATCTCAATCGCTACTAACAAACTTATGATATATAAAACATATTATAAATAATTATTTGACCATTATAAAGTTGGTCAATTTATTCTGTGATTTTAAGAGCGCTCATATGATATTTTCTTAAGCTTGTACCAACATTCAATTTTTCAAATGCATCTTATCATTTAATTATTGAAATGTAAAGCTTAACGTGAACAATTCAAATTCTGCAAAAAAGATTTGAGGATATGCAAATTAGGATTCATACAGTCTTTAATCAAAGGTTGTTTTATCTTATTTTAATCTTAAATCTTAAGATTATAGAATTAAATTTGGTAATCTTTTTAATTCTGCAGGAGCCCATTATGCTTACTGTTTCACCTTTCATTTCAATTAATTAAATTATCTATTCTAAAGCCAGCAAGATGCAAATTCTAATATAATGGGCTCAGATAGATTTGCAGGATGGATTAAAAGCACAATAAATTTGAAATGCACTTTTTTGTTTGAAACCTGGATTAATTCACAATATTTACTTGAATTCATTACAATTAAAAATATTTTTCAGTGAATAGTAATAAAAGTATTCTAAATCTAAGGTTTACAATGGATTATCTAAATTTCCTTTAATTAGTCGGATGTGATTTCTGTTAGTGATATATAAACTAAGAATTATATTGAGATACAAAGCCACTATCTTGTAGAAACAAAACTTTGATAAATTTCATATTGGATACCTATATTCCAGTTATTTATATGATTATTATCTTTAAAAGTAAATATTGTTAAAGTCATAAATAAACTGTTGAAGATTAATGCAAATTAGAAACAAATAGAATTTATAGGTTCTGTAATGGAATCTTTAAAGATAAAATTGGTGCAGATGCAAAAATGTAATTTGTTATTATGATGATTCTTAATGAAAGAATCGTCTAAAGATTCTTAATGAAAGAATCTTCTAAAATGTGCTTGGATCGTCAAGTAAAGCTTCATAAACATCTGATCCTTCAATTAAATTCTAGAGAGAGAATACTGAATGTTTACTTATACAAAAATAAATGTACTAAATTACATATGTATAGAAAAAAGTATGTGTTATTTTTAAAATAATGTGCTCAAACGTATTGATGCCTAATTTCCTATTCGGCGTAGCCACATTCAGTATTCTAGCTAAAATAATTTTTGCTGACTATTAAAAGTTGAAGAGCAGCTGAAGCATAAACAAATTTTTGACAGTCATTATCTAGGTGGAGCCATAAGGTACACTCAAAGCAAGGGCAGAAGAAAAATTTGCAAAGGTGTATCCATTGATGTTCCAAAAGAGCATCCTATTTTTTTCACAAAACACAGTGTTTATATTTCTAGACATTAAATCTTTTGATTTTAATGGAACATTTACTAGAGAATAATATAAATTAGTAGTGATAAGGATGGCAAATTGTATATATTGCTTATGCTAATAAGATCTACTTAATAAATAAGCTAGTAAATGTTAAACTCAAAATGATGTAAGAATTATTGAGGTCGCACTAATGCCTCAGAAAATAAATGTATTTTTACTTGAAGTATATCAAGGTATGAATAAAATTAATGCTATGATGCATTGAGAAAATTTTTTTGTTACTACAGAATGATGCAATTATCTGGACTGATAAAGCATTGTCTATTGATTCTAAATATTTTAATTCATATATAAAAGGTATATCAATCATAAATGAATGTATTAGCTGAAAGTTTAAGATTGCTTTGTAATTATAATGATGCAATTATCTGGGTTTATAAAGCATTGTCTATTGATCCTAATCATGTCCATTCATTATCTACAAAGGGTAAATAATTCTTTGTCATAGTGATATAGGAGCCTGCTTACACTAACTCTAAAATTATTAAGAAGCTATTTCTTATTATAATAGGGTAGTTGAGATCGACTCAAGTTTTTTAATTGCTATAAATATGAAAGATATAAATTAATTTACATGTTTATTGTTGAATGTGAAAAACAAAAATCAAAAATAATGAATTCAGTGATAGTTCATTATTATGTTGAGTCATAAAAATAGAAGTTATTTTAGAATTTATATCCTAATAATTTTCAGATAATTTCCATAAATATTTAATACTTATATTTTTATGTCTACTTAAAGGCATTTAGTCAATATTCTATAATTTTTTTGTATAGGCTAATATTGTTTCTAATTTAAAAAATTTTCTAGTTTTATTTATTTGATTAAACAAAAATTTATTTTTGATTCTTAATTATATGAAAAAGTGGTCTTATTTATTAAATATAATTCTTAGATGTTTAAAGCGTCATATAAATATGTTCCACAATGTCTATTACTGTAAATAAGGAGAGAGATAACTAGTATAATCGATTTAGATAAATATTTCTTGTTAATTTAAAAAATTGCAATTCAAAGGAAGTAGTTTTAGTAAAATTAAAAAAAATTGAAAATCAAATATTCTTATACGAAATTTTTTGTTTTTTTTATTGAGTCAAAAAACTGAATAGAAGAAGGTAGAGAATTTTAAGCGAAAAGCTATGTATATTTAATTAATTCACATCCAGTTGGTAGGATTGCTGTGCCTACCCTGAAATAATCAACTCGCGCTATACTTAATCTCTCTTTGTTTCACGAAACAAATTTATTTGACATTTTCTGTACTCTATTTGTGTATTAGATATTTTAAAGATAAAATTATTATTTAAAACAATTTGTCACTAATAATCCTGATTTTTGAAATAAGTCATTTCAATTCAAAAATAATTGTTTTTTGATGCTCACCATAATTATATTTGCACTGTGTTCTTTTGGTTTCAATCTTTAACAATTTAGAAATAAGCAAGTGTATAATAAAAGGCATGAATTTTTCTATTACGCTATTAATTTTGAAAACAAAATGAATTTTTGAGGAAAAGTAGCCCCTAAAGAACAATTTGTCCCTTTAATTATCTAGTAATAAAAAGGGAAAAACTATTGAGATGCTCAACTATGATATTTAATGTAATCTTCTTCAAGTTGAGTAGAAAGAACTTCTAAATTATTCACAAAAGCAGAGCTAATTAGATTAAGAATATGGCAAAAACAGTATTTATAAGTTAATTCTTATTGAAGATATCGAAATAACCTTTTTATTAAGAGTATCTTTAAGACAATATATCCTCCCATTCATTTGAAGTAACTTTAATTTGAACTCCTTTAATCTTCGTTTGATTAATAAAGTCTTTATTTGGTTAGATTTTTTAATTCCTGACAATGTTTACCATTAGATTATGTTTTTCTTTGTGTAAGTTAGTAAGTTCGATTAACTTACAATAGAATATACGAGGTTATTAATAAATATGTGATCTTTGTATAAATTAATCTCAATTGTTTACATATGGATTTTTTAATGTTTATTAATTTTAAGAGAAAGAGACAACAACTTAGTTTTTAGGTTAATTTAAGATTGTTTAGCATATAATGAAAGAGCATTTCAGAAAGAACTAAAATTAAAAGATAAATCTATCATTTTACATTAATATATCTATTTTTCTACATTTATTCCCGAAATTATGCAGAAATAGTTTAAGCTTAGTTTTGTAAAAACACTTAGAATGGCAATAAGATATTCTTAGAGGATGGCTCAAAATGGACTAGAACACAAAAAATGTTGTTTCTGATGCTTATTTACATATATTTTTTTGATCAGATCTAAATTATATATATTCTTTCCCAAATTTAATCCAAGTTTTGTAATAATTATTGGTAAACTTTAAATTCCTCTCATTATCTAACATCTGCAGCACTAGTCAAACATATCCATCAAGACATCATCTTTTAAATCCACAGAGGACTCGCTTATAAATAATCAGTACAGCATTCAGAGATGCCATAACAAATACAAACGGCCTATTCTGGCTTCTCATATTTAAATGCACTATCAAGTTGGAAGAAGCCTTCTATCGTTACTCATAATATATGTNTACTCTATTTGTGTATTAGATATTTTAAAGATAAAATTATTATTTAAAACAATTTGTCACTAATAATCCTGATTTTTGAAATAAGTCATTTCAATTCAAAAATAATTGTTTTTTGATGCTCACCATAATTATATTTGCACTGTGTTCTTTTGGTTTCAATCTTTAACAATTTAGAAATAAGCAAGTGTATAATAAAAGGCATGAATTTTTCTATTACGCTATTAATTTTGAAAACAAAATGAATTTTTGAGGAAAAGTAGCCCCTAAAGAACAATTTGTCCCTTTAATTATCTAGTAATAAAAAGGGAAAAACTATTGAGATGCTCAACTATGATATTTAATGTAATCTTCTTCAAGTTGAGTAGAAAGAACTTCTAAATTATTCACAAAAGCAGAGCTAATTAGATTAAGAATATGGCAAAAACAGTATTTATAAGTTAATTCTTATTGAAGATATCGAAATAACCTTTTTATTAAGAGTATCTTTAAGACAATATATCCTCCCATTCATTTGAAGTAACTTTAATTTGAACTCCTTTAATCTTCGTTTGATTAATAAAGTCTTTATTTGGTTAGATTTTTTAATTCCTGACAATGTTTACCATTAGATTATGTTTTTCTTTGTGTAAGTTAGTAAGTTCGATTAACTTACAATAGAATATACGAGGTTATTAATAAATATGTGATCTTTGTATAAATTAATCTCAATTGTTTACATATGGATTTTTTAATGTTTATTAATTTTAAGAGAAAGAGACAACAACTTAGTTTTTAGGTTAATTTAAGATTGTTTAGCATATAATGAAAGAGCATTTCAGAAAGAACTAAAATTAAAAGATAAATCTATCATTTTACATTAATATATCTATTTTTCTACATTTATTCCCGAAATTATGCAGAAATAGTTTAAGCTTAGTTTTGTAAAAACACTTAGAATGGCAATAAGATATTCTTAGAGGATGGCTCAAAATGGACTAGAACACAAAAAATGTTGTTTCTGATGCTTATTTACATATATTTTTTTGATCAGATCTAAATTATATATATTCTTTCCCAAATTTAATCCAAGTTTTGTAATAATTATTGGTAAACTTTAAATTCCTCTCATTATCTAACATCTGCAGCACTAGTCAAACATATCCATCAAGACATCATCTTTTAAATCCACAGAGGACTCGCTTATAAATAATCAGTACAGCATTCAGAGATGCCATAACAAATACAAACGGCCTATTCTGGCTTCTCATATTTAAATGCACTATCAAGTTGGAAGAAGCCTTCTATCGTTACTCATAATATATGTAATCTCTACGTACAGAGGCTTTAAAGTCCTTAATCAAATTTACACCACATTGAGGGAGTTAATGAAGAGCAGTTCGCATGGTTCAAAATTTCTAATAATCGAATATCTCTCTCCCTGTTGGCCACTAAGGCTTTACCTCTTGACAAATTAGACACCCTGTAGTAAGATCGTATGATTATTCGCCTATGTCTCAATATAAGCATTCGTCTAAATTACCATTTCCTTCATTTCTCCAGGTTACCTACATCATTCCTGAGTAACTTCAGTATATTATTTGATTTTATGTTAAAAAATTCCATTTATTGCATTGGAGATTTTATTCTCCAATATTACACTTAACAAGGCTGAATTGCAATCTTCTTGGAAGCTAAATATTTTCTAAGTAGTCAGAATATTTCCATCTACAATAATAAACTTATCTTATTCTTTCATTTAATTCGTCCGATCATTTTAACAGTTTACTGGTTTTTATTCTTCCAAGCTCTTATTTTTATATTCCTTTCCTAGTAATGATTCATTTTAATTCATCTATTTACCTTTCATATTCTAAATCATTAACAAATTGTATCAATTTCTACTCACTTCCATTTCCCATAATTCCTCCTTTAATTTGGCTGTTAAGTTACACGAATTATAATCTTTTTTATTATAATTATGGCGTCTATAATAGGTTCTGTTTAAAATCAGGAGAATTGATTATACCTAGTTAACTTTAAAATTGTTAAGAGATTACTTTATTAAAATTTCAATGTCCATATTTCTTTTTTTCATCTTTTATTATTAGAGAATTACTATGGAGCAAATAGACTAGGGCATTGACTTGGAAAGATCCGATTTTCATGAATATTAACTAATCTTATAGATTTCTAAAGCTCTTCAATAAGTTCTTATTCGACTTTAGAATACTCTAATACTTGAATATTTATTTAATCATTTGATAGAATATTTCTGATTAATTCCGATTTCAATTAATATTATGAGGTATTATGTTTTTTCCCTATTATAAATTAAATTTTACAAAATTTTATAAAAAGAAGATTTATCCTTAAATTATTATTTTGTTCCTAAATTCATCCCAAAAGGCTCCAGCTTTTCTAGAGAAGTGTTTAATTTATTCGATCAAATTCCCTTATTCCTTAAAGTTACTATTATGTAGTATGTATAATGGTGTACTATTTAATTATCTCAATCCAAATCAAGATCTATTTAAGTCTCCTCTAAAGGTAGAAGCAGGGCTTGAATCATGTCAAGTCTAGAATGCTTCAGGTTCATTGGACTAATGGCTTAAATGATAATCGTTTCCCATTACTCTATTTTATCATCGTGGAACCAATATTTGTTCTTGGAATATTCAAACTCTATTCAGCTTATACTTCCTGAATGTGGAACATTAAGGAAAAAATAAAGTCCTCAATCACGGCCGTCGAGTATTAGCTATGACTTATGGAGCGAGACCTACTAGAGTTGGATCCAGAATAGTGGTTCTGACGATTAAGTTTTATATTGATTAAAAGATCATTTACAAATTATTTATAACTTAATCTGTCAAAAATAGAGTTCTTCAGTTCTAAGATCCTACTTTACTAAATCATATAACTATAATGCCTCTTCAAATCTATCTATATTTTCCATAACACAATGGCTAAAAATTTATCAATAAAAGTAGTACCTTTTGTAATGTAATATTCTGAATCTTTAGGATTTTTCTATATTGCTTTATCATAATTGCCTAATCATAAAACTCCAATGCTTCTTCAAATATATTTAATTTGCATATTTGTTGTCAAAATATTTGAGTATATTTAAATTTATTGCTTAAAATGAATAATTCAAAGTCAATAACTTTTTCATAGTAATATTTAGAATTCTAAGGGTTTTTCGAAATTACATAATCATAAAATTGCAATGCTTCTTCGAATCTATTTAAATTTCGTAAAGTTTTTGCCTGATAAATAAGATAATTTACCTTTTCTAATTTAATAATCTGAATTTTCAGGGTGTTTTTAAATTGCAAAATTATAACATTTCAATGCATCTTCAAATCTATTTAATTTTTATAATTTAGTTGCTAAAATAGAATAATTTAAGGTTAATACCTTTTCTATAGTAATAATTTGAATATTATTCTCAATCGCTTAATCATAACTTTATGATGCTATCCAATTTCTACAAATATTTTATAATTTCATTCCTTATAATAAGAAATACGTAATACCTTTATTTGACTATTTAATTTATTTTTATAAATTATAATTAATATCATGGTCATAAAATTTAGTAATTCCTCAATGTTACTCTAATTAAAGTATTTTTTTGAACCTGCAGATTATTCTAATTATCATCAATGGTGGTTTGCAATTCTTTCTTATTTTCTTTAGACAGTTTGATATACTTGAAATTTTTGAATAATTTTGATACTTTTGGATTCTTTTTATGTTAAAACTGCATTTGTTTTTATTTCAAAATTTTCCATCTTTAATACCTATTTATATTCTCCTTCTAAAATAATTTTATATACTTTAACTAAATTTACAATTTATCTTCTTTTGGGATTAGTATATGATATTGTTATGCCAAGCTACAAGTTACAGATTAGAAATAAAGACATTTAAGTAAATTAGTTCTATTTAAAGGCCTTTTTCATAAGTTGACATGCATTAGTTCTAATTTTCATATTTTACATTTTCGAATTTTTGTATCGAAATTCTTATTTAATTACCTATTTTGTGAATCTATTTATCCTTTAAATAAAAAAAAGTATGAATATTATTTCGAGAAAAATGGGGTTGGAAAAGCCTACATTATATATTTTGATAGAAATATGTAAAGAGTTTATACAATTTAAATTTTGATTTGAACTGTCATTTAATCACTCCCAAATAATTTCTAAATTTTTTATTTAAGTTTGAATCATTTATAATAGAATTTATATTTTTTAAAAGTTTTCTTCAGCGGATCAAATGAAATTTTAGGGTAATGGTTTCTTTCTTTAATTCCTGTTAATCTCATATAAATCAAATTTAAATAAATCAATAGCTTGAGTATAGAATGAATTTCATGTTTAAATTTATCTAGACGGATTAGGGAGATAAAATGATTACAATGAGAAAATCCAATGAAGAGGGAATCTAATTAGGTTCGGCCCTTAATCTAATATATCGATGCATAATGTAATATTGAGATACTCTTTAACACTTAACTAAGCAAAAATTATGAATAGTATTTTGTTGTCTAACAATTTCTTCTCTCTTACCTTTTTATTTAATTGAGAGTACAACACTCCTTATTCACACTCGATCTAAGAATTTTCACAACCACAAAAAGTATCATGTTGGTTTTTAAGGGTTACGATTTTTCTGTGAAACATTAAATTCTTTTTATTTGTTAATTCTTTATTAATTCTTGACGGAATATCATTTATTTAAATTTAATTAGATGATTTAAAGTGAAGATTCCCCGAAAGTCCTACTTTTTGAACAAAAGAATCAAATAAAGTATTCCATTTTATTCAATCAAAAAATACCCCAAAATAGCATTCATTTTAAGATCTTTTAAAAAAACATTATAATTTTGAAGTTAAAATTTTTCTTAATAAAGGGTTGTTATATTCATATTATGATTGTATGTAACCATTATTCTTTCATTAATGATGGTATCATCTCAAAACACCTTCAACCTTATTAATTACAATTTAGGTTCTATCAACCTAGGCTAAAATAACTAAGGTGATCTTGATTTGTGAAGATCAATAATGATGTCAAGTCTCAATCTCGTGGTTCAATAAGCTAAATGGATCATTTGCCTGGATTTCTTTTCTTTTTTTAGATAGTCATTGTTAGGTATACAATATTAAGAAGTGGCATAGCCATATTGGTCAAAAATATTAGAGATCTGCATTCTTTATATTTTTATTTTTTCATCATCGAAAGATATTTATGAAGTTTTATTTTGTGCAAATATAACGCAAATAGATCAAGTGGCATTGAATCCATATGGATTGAAATTTTCTTTTAATTTAAACTAATTTTAAGCCGATTTAACCAAACATACTGTCTAATAATTTCCTTCTAAAGTTAAATCTTAAAAAAGTGTTTTGACTAAAAACACTAATACATTTACTATTGTGGTTGTAGTAAGAATATAAATAGTTATGTGATTCGGATATTGTAATTTTTATATAGAATTGATATTAATATATATAGAGTTAATTTTATATTAATTGGAATATATTCTGATGCAAACAAGAGACTATTTAAAACCATTAAATGAGTACTCTTACTAAAATTGTACTGAAATTAAAATATATTTTTCAATTTTATATATGTTTACAATGAGAATAGCTAAGGTTCTGATAAAATATATATCTTTTTGTAGAGAGATTAAACTTCAGGTTCTTCTTTTCATAAAGGAAAGGAGAGTCTTAAAATGAATTTGATAAGTAATGATTTAGGGGATTTAATATCTTTATTTTATAGAAGTAGCATTACGAATTAATGTTATAAAAATGAAATGAAATTTTGGAACATTTATAGTAGCAGAAATCTATGAAACAAGGGCAAAAAATTATGAATGGACCAACATGGTTATAATTGATCATTTTTCAAAAATAGAAAACTTCAGTGGCTCTAATAAGAGATGATTTTACTGATACGTTCTTTCAACTTTTCTATTTTCAAAGAGTCTTGTTGTCATTAACTATTATGATATTTATATTGACCCTCATTTCTTTTTAAAAATAAATAAAGTGCCGCAATGCTTTCTGATTTTCTGTTTGTTGATCCTTGCCTTTTGGGGAGGAGCTTTTTTCACATTAATCACAGTATCATAAAGTTTCTTTTTAGGCAACCTTTATTAATAACATTTATTCACTTAAGTAGAGTTATTTTCTGCATTTACAAAATGATCCAATTTAGAGGATGGTAATATTTTAATAGAATCATAAGTTATAAAATTATAGACATAAATCAAGACAAATATGGTTTAATTTCGATAAATCGTTAAGATCCAATATCAATAAGATTTATTTTCTTTCATTATTAATAACTCATAACAAATTCATTAATTTTTATAAAAAAGACTTTAATTACAATATTAATAAATAATTGAAAAAAACTTTGTGGTTTTCTCTTAAGTCTTTTATAATTAAGAACTCTCCAATATAATAAATTATTAACCAAGGCCTTCAAGTAGTATAATAAAATGTGTTTTATACTATATTATCCTTTTATTTTGAGTTTTGTGTTTTTTCTACTATTTTAGAAATAAATTTCATAACTTAGTTTAATGAAACCAAAAACTGTTATTGTTTAGGGTGGATAAACTATAGACCACACTTGATTAGAAATACTCTAATTAAAAAAATCTAACTAACCTCTATTACAAACTGTTTATTTATTTTATAATATATGAAAAAATCTAATTAGGGCTAAATTTTATGAGATCCACATCTCAATTTTTATTTGAAAAGAACTTCATTTATTTAAAATCTTGTGTAAGTATAAATTTTGCGATTATTTAAGTAACCTCTTTAAGATTTCAATTTACAAGAGATACTTAAAATTGGTTGAAAAATTATTTCTAATTATAATAGTTGCATTTACAAGAAATTAAGTTAAGCAACATCTAAAGTATTCAAAAAAATTAGATGGGGCCTTGAAATGCCTAATAAGTTAATCTGAATTCAATGATATATTACATAATAATTTATTAAATTATTTCCTAATTATCATAAATTTCAGAATCCTGATCATTAAAATAGGTGATCAAGATATCACCTTTCATCTAAGCCAATAATGAGAGATCAATAAAAATGGAAAAAAATTAACTAGAAATTTTACAAAGTTTTAGAATTCATAACTAAGATTAGCAGGCAGTACTTTATTGCTACTTTATTTCCAAAAGTACTTTAGATATATATAAACGAAAGCAAAATTATGAAACATTATGAAGAAGTGCTTTGTTTTATACAATTCTAATTTCAAATGAATCGAAAACATTAAAATAATCACTAAAACAAAATTTTTTATTATTAATTTAATCTCTTTTGTTATTTTCTTCTATATATATTCTTCACCTTTTAAAGAAGATACTTTGAATATAAAGATAAATAATAATTAAAGAACATTTTTATATTCATAAAGAATATTAATAAATGAAGATATTTTAGATTTTATACCTCTTTTCTTTTTTTGAAATTTAATAGTCCTACCTTTCATGGATGAGTCAGCAATATTAAATGGATGAATCCTTTCTAAATATAAATGATTTAATCACAAATGATCAGTCATTAGCTGTTGGATTATGGTCTAGGTATAATCCGTAAGGAGTAACCTAATAACTTGGAATTGTTGGATTGATGGATTCCAATTGCTTTCATTATCAGAGTTTGATTGGAGAATAATCAAAAGGCTTGGAATAAATTTATTATGATTGTCTTTACCCTGAAAACAAAACTATACAAAAATATNGTATTATCCTTTTATTTTGAGTTTTGTGTTTTTTCTACTATTTTAGAAATAAATTTCATAACTTAGTTTAATGAAACCAAAAACTGTTATTGTTTAGGGTGGATAAACTATAGACCACACTTGATTAGAAATACTCTAATTAAAAAAATCTAACTAACCTCTATTACAAACTGTTTATTTATTTTATAATATATGAAAAAATCTAATTAGGGCTAAATTTTATGAGATCCACATCTCAATTTTTATTTGAAAAGAACTTCATTTATTTAAAATCTTGTGTAAGTATAAATTTTGCGATTATTTAAGTAACCTCTTTAAGATTTCAATTTACAAGAGATACTTAAAATTGGTTGAAAAATTATTTCTAATTATAATAGTTGCATTTACAAGAAATTAAGTTAAGCAACATCTAAAGTATTCAAAAAAATTAGATGGGGCCTTGAAATGCCTAATAAGTTAATCTGAATTCAATGATATATTACATAATAATTTATTAAATTATTTCCTAATTATCATAAATTTCAGAATCCTGATCATTAAAATAGGTGATCAAGATATCACCTTTCATCTAAGCCAATAATGAGAGATCAATAAAAATGGAAAAAAATTAACTAGAAATTTTACAAAGTTTTAGAATTCATAACTAAGATTAGCAGGCAGTACTTTATTGCTACTTTATTTCCAAAAGTACTTTAGATATATATAAACGAAAGCAAAATTATGAAACATTATGAAGAAGTGCTTTGTTTTATACAATTCTAATTTCAAATGAATCGAAAACATTAAAATAATCACTAAAACAAAATTTTTTATTATTAATTTAATCTCTTTTGTTATTTTCTTCTATATATATTCTTCACCTTTTAAAGAAGATACTTTGAATATAAAGATAAATAATAATTAAAGAACATTTTTATATTCATAAAGAATATTAATAAATGAAGATATTTTAGATTTTATACCTCTTTTCTTTTTTTGAAATTTAATAGTCCTACCTTTCATGGATGAGTCAGCAATATTAAATGGATGAATCCTTTCTAAATATAAATGATTTAATCACAAATGATCAGTCATTAGCTGTTGGATTATGGTCTAGGTATAATCCGTAAGGAGTAACCTAATAACTTGGAATTGTTGGATTGATGGATTCCAATTGCTTTCATTATCAGAGTTTGATTGGAGAATAATCAAAAGGCTTGGAATAAATTTATTATGATTGTCTTTACCCTGAAAACAAAACTATACAAAAATATATCTAATTTATAACTTAAGATGGCCAATAGCACTAATATATATTAGATATTAACCCATTCGAATATGAAACTGTTTGGTATTTGTTTTAATTATATTATTATCCTTCAAGAAACATAATTGAATTCATAATAATAAAAAAATAGGATATTTTGCTTCTGAAGAAATTAGATTCTCTTCTTCTTTTAGAAAATTAGGTAAAAAAATATGTTGGAGGAAGTCTCATTGTACAAACTTCAAATCTAGAATCAATAGAAGCAGGAAAAAAATTTTCCTATTTTCCAGGTTAAATATATCAGGTTATCACTCTTCCTCATCGACCTTCTATTTATGAATTAGAAAAAGGGATAATCTCCTTAGTTGAATTTATCGAGTTTCAGTTTGAAGATTAATGCAATAGCGTGATCACTTATTAAATACCAGATTAAGACATATTTTATTTAGATCAAAAAGTTCATGTTTCTGAAAATGTCAATTTTGATTCATTTGTTTTGGCTAGTTGGTTTAGAATTACAAAAATACATCAAGTTGATGAAGAGTTTACGTATCAATTTTTAAAAGTAAGTAAACATACTAAACATTAACAATTTTCTAATTCTAACTTAGCTCCATTCTAGTTGTTCTATAAAATATCTCCAAACAATAATAAAATAATAATTACTACTTATAGCTACAATTACCCATCTATAACTTTAGATTTTACTAATAGTGCTAACAATTTTATGTTAACTGAAGAATTCGAAATTAAAAATAAAATCACTCTTTGGCACAGTTTGTTTGTTAATCTTCAATCAGATCAAATTTTTATTTAAATTAAATTTTTTGAAAAATACCAAGTATATGAATATTCTAAGACATTTCCTGTTAAATAATTTGGCATTGTAAATTTATCTGTTCAATATGGAAATTTATTGAATTCGATTTAGAATTATTTAGATATCTAAACAAGAAATAATATCTTTTATAATTGCTAATAGTAAATAGAAGAGCAAAATTGCCATTTTTCGTGCTAAGATTGTGATGGTCCAACAAATTTCGATTGTTTATCTTGTTCCGAAGTATCATAAAGAATTTATATACCAGAACATAAAGTCTGCATTTGTCCTTATAATTATTTAGATGATTAAATTAATTAAAATTGTCTGTCTTTATCAGGTTAATCATTTGATATCTAGGAATTAATTAAAAATAACGATTGTAAATTTGGCTATTTTGAATATGATGATTCATGTTATGCGTGGTAAATTATATTATTAATATGAAGTCCTTCAATTTTTTCTGATAAATAGATAACATGTTTAGATTGTCTATAAAATGTAAACGGATGGCAAGAGAAGCCTTATTGTTAAACTACTCTCTATTTTAATTCTAATGGAAATACAGCAATTACAATAGATGACTAGGATGATATGTTCATTTTTGATGGTTTAGAACCATATTTATGCAGAGATTGCATTAGATAATCTTTTTTTGATAATGATAGTATTTTCAAACAGTTCTCTTAATTGTAAAATAGATTTAAGTAATTTTGTGAATTTGGTGAATATTACTTTGATTAAGAAATCGCTGAATCTTGCTATGCATGTAAATTATCTTGCTGTATATTCTGCACTATTGAGGTGATTGGGATGAAATGCGTTTTGTGTGAAGAAGGTTGTAGATTGATTGATGGGGTTTGTATTGCTGATGAAATATACAGACCATATCTAAAAGGTTGTAGAATTCCTAATTATCTAAATTCAATGAATGTATGTAAATTATGCCCTATTAAAAATTGCAAATATTGTTTTGAATATTATGGGAATGATTTAGAAGAATCTACTTTATATTTAAATTTTAAGATATTTGGATTTGATGAATATGTAAGCATTGGATGCGCGATGTGTGATGAAAATTATAGTTTTGACTTTACAATTGGTAACTGTATTTATAAATAACCCTCCTTATCCAATTGCTTAAGGTCATTTGTTAATTTACAGGGTCAAGAAATATGCACTTTATCATCTACTGATTTTAGTGTGGCTTCGGAAATAATTAATTGTAGTAGGTTAATAGACAATTGTATGCAATGCTATATCACTCCTATGTATGTAGTAAGATGCATAATTTGTAACTTAGGGTTTTCAGTATCTATCATTTAAGGAAATTGCTATAAAAATACTTTAGTTCTAAGATATGAAAATGCAAAAATTCTGATTGAAGGAGAAGAGTATGCTGATGCATCAGTATAAAGAATATAGAGTTTTATGATGAAATTTTTACCAAACTAATACATTCATTAAAAAAATTATGTAGATTATTTAATCTATCTTTTCGAAATAGAATGTAATTAGGGATATTAATTATATTAATCTTATTTATGTGCCAAATATTGCACTTAAGAATGTTTGGATTGTTAAGAGTCTAAATATCTGAATTAATTTTATTGTGCGAAATGCCCATTAAACTATTATTAATAACCTATTCGTAGTTAACTAGATGGATCATGCATTAGATGTCCTGAATTATGTGAAATTTGTGAAGTAAGATCTGAAGATGAAATCTAAGTAACTATTGAAAATATTATATAGAAAATAAATCCAAATTTTTAAATCACAGAAGACAACAAATCTTATACTTATAAATGTATAAGACCAATTTCAAATAGTAATGTAATTATAGATTCTTACTTGTAAATTGCTAAATATTGTTTTACAGGAAATTGCAATTATGAATTCACTAAATATTCTTCTATTTTAAGGGATTTAGATGCTTAAATTGATACCCACTATTGTAATTAAATTGGAGTATAGGACTTAAAAATATAAATTAATTCAAAGGCAGATGGAGGGAATCTCTCAATAAAAACTGAGTTAAAAAAATACATTTTTAGTTTACAGCGTCTTAAAATTGAAGTTAACTTTTTTTACAAAAGTATTTATTTTAAGGTGATTTCTGGCTTTGATTATATAGAAATTAATGATGTGTATCTAGACATGAGATATCAGGATTTTCTATTACATAATGAAAATTAAAAAATTAATCTAGTCCTAAATAACATAGTGTTTCAAGAAATTTAATTCAATTATCGTTCTTCTTTAATTGACTCAGAATTATTCGGAGATATTTCATTGAATAATATTTCAATTATTAATTCTAATTTCAATTCATCATCATTTTTGAAATTAAATTAAAAAATGTCAAACCAAATTTTTTAAATCTCAAAATTGACTTTATATAAATGTAACTTTACGAACTCACAACTATTTCAGCTTTGGAATAATGAGGTTCAAATTTTGATTGAGTAAGTAGTTATTGATTCGACCATATTTTATAATTCGTCATTCCTCACTTTTTTTTAGAAAGCCGATGGCCAAAGTAAATTGGAAGTTAAAGAAATAAAAATAACATCAAGCCAATTTTTTCACTCATTCATTTTAAATTGTACTAATCTACAAAAAATTATTATCAATAATTTTAACCTAAATAAAAATTAAATAGTCCTTTCAAACATTATTGTATTTAATATGAATTTAGCTATATTTTAAACCGAAGTAAATAATAATACTTTTATTGAATCATAATTTATTAAAACAGTAGACTCAGAAAGCAAGAAGAAAATATATGTTTAAGTTGACAATTACAATGCTATTCAAAATTATTTTACAAATTCTAGTCTATTTTATATATCAAATGAAAATATGTAGTATTAATTAACAACTGCTCAAATTTAGTTTAACTAAGGATAAACTAATAATCAATATCAAGATATTAGTCTATTTAATATACATTGTTTTCAGCTGGTAATTGATAATATTTACATCGTTGATTCAAATAAGATTTGCATATTCTATGTTTTAGAAGTTTTTGAAATATTTGCATCAAACATAGTTTACTAAAATTTTAATATTAATAATAAGGTGTCTTCTAGCTTAAATTGTAGAGATTATTAAAATTTTAATTATCCACTACTTTTAATTTCTGGATACTCTATTATTAGCCTTAAAAATATAAAAGCTCTTAAAATATTTAGTATTGATGAATAATTAATAGAAATAAAATCAACTAGAAAAAGATGGAATAATATGCCTCTGAGTTTAGAATTGATAAATTTGGAATTTATTGGGAATTTATTATTGCAAAAATAGGCAACAAATTATTTCTCTTTATTATCAATAAATTCTGAACAAAATACCACCATTTAAATGGAAAACATTTTTTTTGAAAAAAATTTCATTCATTAGCAAACAGATGATCTTTAAGATTCAGCAGCAGCATTGATCAATATAAATTTAAATACAGGGTATATTAGAATAAATAATCTCTATTGCTCTTAAAATGCTCTGACTAATTCTTCAAATTCATTTATATTTTTGAAGTCTGAAGTCATAACACTTACAAATTATACAGCTTTAAACCATAATATAATACCTTTAGAATTATGGGATTTATATTATGATTTTTAATTAGAGGACAATTAACATGCATATGATTAGGATCAAATAAATTAAATCATAGAATAAACTTTCAAAATAAAAAGTAAATGCGGAGCTGGTTTGATAACTGCTGTTGAATTTTCTTGCTTTAATTGTTTATTTTAGGATATTATTGGATTGAAAAGTTCTGTATTTGAAATAAAAACATAAGGAAACGGAAATATTGAATTAAGAAACCTAAAAATAAATTCTTCATATTATGATTTAAGTAGTATAATAGAGAGTTCAGGCTGTATTACTATTTAATCATCAAGTAGTTAGCTAAATTTAAAAATCATAAATGCTGAGTTTGTAAATGTTTTTAATCGTTTAGCAACATCAATCCTTACAATAAATCCATCTGTATTCTAAAATTAAATTTTAATATAAGATGTGACTATTAAAAATTGCATTTCATTGAAAAATTCAATAATAAGTATATTATTCTCAACCTAGAATATAAATTCAAACAAAGTTTTTATAACAAATGTAAATATAAACTATCAGGAAGGTGCTTGGACCAAATACTTCGAGAAGACTGGTATAATAAATTAAAATGAAATAATAGATATAACTGGTAATTCAAGTTCTTTAATTCAATTATAGAATTGCAATGTAGTTTTGTCTAAGATTATTTTTTCTGGGCTTTTTACTTGTCCTTTAATTAAATTAATAAATGTCTAATATTTATTAATCTCTTCATTTTTGGCATAAGACATTCAAACATTTTATAGCTTTAATCTTTTAGAAATTTATTAAGATTTATCAGTAAAGCAAACCATAAATATACAAAATGGAAAATTTTTAAGAATATCAATTTTTGAGATTATTAATAACCAAATTTATGGGAATTCACGAATAAATTACAGGCTTAATCGGTGTAATTAAGTTGAAAATTTATAATCGGACGTTAGAATTTATACTTTTGATTAAATTATCAAGCTCATGCAATCTACCGAAAAAGCAAGTTCTATAATTTAAATTCAATCGAACTCAAATACTACAGTTATTTAAATTTAAAATATAATTTTATAACAGATTAATTGCTCCTATTGTTTAAATGGATTGATCTTTTTCAATATTGAAAACTATAAAACATTAAAAATTAAGGAAATTGCTTTTTTTTCAAATAAAATAAAACAATTTGGTTGTTTGAAGATAGTAGCAAGTAATTAGATCAACAGAAGTAGTTCAATTTAGAATTCAAAATTTATTAATAATAATGGGAGTTCTGGTGTTGCTTTATCTTCGACAAATATATCTATTAAGATTATTCAGTGTAGTATAATTAATAACATTGCAAGTAATTAAGGTGGTGGAATATTTTTGGACATGGATACCAAGTATTTGATTATTAATAAATCGACTATTGTAAATAACCTAGCTTTTGAAGGAGGAGGGATCTATATATCTAAAATTTTAGACAGCAATTCTAAAAATATTATTTAAACATTATTATAATTCAACAAAGCAGACTTTCTGTCAAATAATCTAGTTGAATATCCAACCCATTTAAGCTTATTTATTAATTCTCAAGAAATGCAAGCATATGAATCTATAAAAAATGAAATTAAAGTAAGAATTTTGAAACTTAAACCTTATAAAATTATTGAGTAAGGTGTTATTAAATATAGTCAATATTTGATGATACCTAGCGATTAAGTAATTAAAAATTATAAGAATTTTATACCTTAATTATCAAATTTTTATAACTTATTAAGTAATCTTTAAATAAATTTAAAAAATAGTAGAAATGAATTACTATAAAATTCAAATCAATTCTCATGCTTAGTTTCATAAACATCTGCAAAATCAAATTAGGATTATACATTTAGCAATATTAAACCAGTTAGTTCTCTTTAAATTGACGAATTTAATCACTTTGATTTAGGATCTGTCCAATTCCATTATGATCCATATCATGACGAAGATTAAAATTTATAAATTTTAGTAAATTGCTCATAAAATACTTCGCAAAACCACTTACTATATTTAATCAATTCAAGAACCTATAAATGTTAATTAGGAGAATTTTATATTGACGAAGGATGTTAAATATGTGAATCAACCTTTGGTTTTTATTCAGTTACCTACAATGCCACAAAATGTTCAATATTTGATAAAACAAAGTTTGCAAGCATATCTTCACATTCTATATAATTATTATAAGGATATTGGAGGCCAAATATTTACTCTGATTATACTGATTATTGTTTCAAGAATATAGAATTTTGTAAAGGAGGATGGAAAGTAGGAGATGATCTTTGCTCTTTGGGTCATCTTGGAGGACTGTGTGAAGAATGTGATTACCATAATAAAAGAGGGGAAGGAAATTTTTTTAAGAATTAATAGGATTCGGAATGTTATAATTGCTCCACTAATACTATGATGCCTTTTATTTTCTCCTTTATCTGGTATAAATATAAAAATATTAAAGGACTATTGTTTCTATACTGATCACGTTAAAAAGCATTGAAAAATCTAACCTGTTATTTTCGAAACTTCAATTTAAAATAAGATATAGAAAGATTTTATTTAAATTGGAAAAAGGTATTTAAATCTTTATATAATTTAGATATGGAAGGTATATTCATTAAGATGTTGTTCATCTATTTATGGATATTTTCAGTCATATTTACCTTTAACATCAAATTTTCGATTTCATTTTCTTTCATTGATCAAACAAGCAATACTTCTTAATTCATGGCATCCAGTCTTGATTGCTTTTTATCTGAAATTTCTTCAATTGAAGTTATTTATGTTAGAATTATTGCAACAATGCTTTTGATACTGATATAGTTAGGAATCATTTTGATAGGTTACCAATTATATATTTTAGCTTCTAAGAGAAGATTCTAAACCTACATTATTTCTAATACATTATTATACTTGTATGTGTCAAATTTCTCTGGGTTAATTAAGCAGTATAAAATTATAGTTATAAAAGATTTTGTTCGATTGTGTCAAAAAGAATAATTTCAAATATATAATTCATCTAGGGAGATGTAACTTAACCATTTGGATCATTAGATCATAATTTGTGGATCTGGGAATTTGCTACTCCTGGGTTAGTTATATTTGGATTTCTTATTCCATTTTCATTGTTTTTGTTTATGTTCATTACTAAAAATAAATTTAATATAATTTAATTTAGAAGACATATATGCTATTTATTTGATGAATATAATGAATAAAACTACTTTTGGGAATAAATCAAATTTTCAAAAAAAATTTGCATAATCCTAATTATGACTTATTTTGAATCAAATATTTTACTAAAAGCTTCTTTGTTAGGCTTGTTGTTATTAATATATTAAATATTGGCAGAAATGTAATAACCTTACAATTTGTAAAAATTAAACCGTTTGGATCTTTAAGCAGTGAAAATTTGCTCTATTGCTATTTTTATAGCAATCGCTAAATATGTTAGTGAACAGGAGCTTCAGAATACATCTTCGCAAATTTTGTAAGTGTTTATTATTTTTCTTTGTATTAAACTCTGCTATCAATTTATTTTAGATATCTTTAAAGCATATGTCAAAAAATATCAAGTGGCATTCATAACTTTACTCACTAACTTTTGTAAAATGATTAAACCGAAATCTAAAACTTCAATTTATTTCGGCAACCTGCTTTTAAAATGGAGTATAAGAGAAAAAAAAATGAAATAAAATTTTACAATTTTAAAAGCACATTTAATAAAGATGTCAAGTGCATAAAAGAAATTTTAAAAGTAATTTCTCTCTTTAACATAGAACCTTTAATGCTATCAATTCCAATTAAAATTTAGCATAATTAATCAAATACAAGCAGTTAAAACAAAAAAAATCTAAAATCTAGTTATCGTTAGAGAAATGATTAGAATTAAAAGCGTCATAAATTCATATTTTTAAGTTTATATTATTGGTTTATAATATAATTATGTATAATTGAGAGTTCTTATTTGATAATTTTATCTAAATTCTAACTTATAAAAATTGAAGTTATTGCTAATTATTAATTATTTTATTAATCAGCCTTAACAATACTTTAGTTTTATTTTACAAATTACTTCTAATTTGACGTTATTTTTCAACCTGAATTTATGATAGCCAGAACTAGTCTATATATAGGATATTAAAGTCTAGTGTACTTAATTTATAAACCCTTTAAATGCAACGAAAAGATTAGGTTGTGAATCATAATTTTTGGACAAAAAAATATATCCCTATTATTAATTTGGCTAATAATTTTATGCAAGAAAAAGGAATGTAAGCATCAAATAAAAGAATAAAGAACAAGTACAGGATTATAACAAGTAAAAAAAATCAAATAATACCATTCTAATTTCTAATATTATTTTTCTTTTCATATCACTCAACTTTACTCTATTTGATGAAAAAACTAGAATTGAAACACTTAAAAAGTCTCCAAGCACGGTTCAAGGGCTATCGTAAGGTAGATTTTATAATTCAATTATTTTGAAGGTTTAAAATAACCTTTTGAATATTAAAATTTATTTCAAACTCTTTGATCATCTTCTAACAGCCTTTTAACAATTAGAAGGAAAGGATAATCAAATACATTTTCAGGATTGGGCTTAACCCCGAAAATTATTACAGTTTCTGCAAATTTGATCGAAAAACAATAGAAATAGAGATCAGAAATTGGATGATGAGTAAACTAACTCAAATGTATTAAAAAGTAAGTAGGAAATTGGAAAATAGCAATTTCAATAAGGTTTAAATAAATATTTCAATATAAAAATAAACATATTCTCTGATTACAAATCACTACTAATAAGGCGCCATTAAATAAATTATTGAAAGTGATCAAATACTCTGAATTACCAGATCCTATTATATCATTTAATTTGACTTTATCCATAAATCAAATCCCTTGTAAAGAACTACCCCTCTCCAAATAGTAGAATATAATGTAATCTTTACCTATTATGATGGCATGGGAACTCTTTACTAGTAACTTTAAATTGTAAAGACTTGAATTCTATTAGGGTGACTTATGATTCTGGCCAGTTACACTACTTTTAGCATGTGTATACTTGGGTCTTAAACTTAATAAAGACCTTTGAGGAACAATGTGACGAAAATTTAATAGGTATTTCAAACTTGGAAAGACGCAATTTACAAGTAATAAATGATAAATCTTATAGTAAAATATAAGCTTAAAAGTTGTATAATGTTTTGTATTTTCACAGGAGTAGTCACCTATCAAAGGAGCATCCAAGGAGAATATATAATATAAACATCGTAGGTAAATTAGGATAGGTATTGAAATAAAGTTTCCATCAATTTAGTTTATTTTTAAGAAGAATTTTTTATTACACAAAATGTAGTTTTATATAATTTAAATTAAATTGCTGTAACAAGAACTCTAAACATTAACTGATTTGCAGAACTACCAAGGTGTTAAATCTTGACAGAAAGTTTTTAAAGCGGATAACAGTATTAGAAGCAAATTCTTTTAATACATTTTGTCAATAATCATTAAAATGGCAATAATCGTTTTTGTTTCATTCTTCATTCAGTCTCATCAATCATATCAATTTTTCAGGATCCTATGATTCTTTTTCATAATATACATGTACCAACCCAATTAAATAGAGGTTATCTACTATTTTATTTTTTTTGAAAAATAACATTATGATCCATTTTATATTGTTGCCTTTCAAGTTTTAATACTTCCGATTAAAGACAACTCATAGAATTATATGCAGTTAAACAAAATTTGATTTTTTAATAATGGAACAATTTGCTAATTTTCTAACCTTTCTTAAATTCTTTTAGCAAGAGATTCTAAAAAAGACAATAATACTTGGCCATATTTTATCTTCTAAAAACAGAAATGAAGTAATAATTGCTAAATATTTTGGATTTATTCATAAATCATTTTTCTTATATAATATGAAATTTTTCTATATTTTATTAGGGTGCTTCATTACCTAATTAAATTCAAAGTGCAATGAATTATAAACACAACCTTATATTACTTGTTAATCATTCACATAAAATTGTTATATTTTAGAAGGAGATGTGGAAGATTATTACGAACTTCAGCAAGTCAATTATCAAATTGTAGAAGAGTCATTCTAAATTCCATACTAACAAGAGCCAATTTTAATAAGAGTCATCAATTCCTTGAATCAAAATAAAATACAAGAAAAGTTAATTTGCTTCTTGTTGGTTAACCTCGAGTATTATATCACTTGTATGGGCTTTGATTTAATTTTTTATGAGAGATAAACTGATTATAGTGAATTAATTAGAATAGATACTAAAATATTAGCTAACGAACTCTGTGATGAATTATATACAAATGAAGATGGTAGTATGAGTTTATTTTGTCTCAGTTAATCTTCTCTAAAATAATATTCTTTGAATTTCAAAAGGGATGTGACATTAATTTAGGAGTATAAGGTGTCAGAACAAAGATAGGATTAATGCAAAAAATAATAGATTAAGTGGAAAGAAAATTATTATATAATCGCTTTTTATCAATGCTCTAGATGGAAACTTATGGTAATAGAAAACAATGATGTTGAAACGATATTATAAGCTTAAATGGTGTATGAAGGCATTTCGATGTCAAGACTCTCTTACATCGATGATGTAACTTTTAGTGAACCCAATGATTTAACTTCAACTATTTATTTGGTAGAAAATGATTTTTATGTGTAATTCCAGTTGAACAAAATTGAAACTAGTACATTAAATTACTAATTAAAATAACACAAAAATCGAATTCAAAAAATAGTATAACAAAGACATTAGATAATGGTTTTAACCTACTAATCAATTAAGACTGATTCATAACGACTTGAAACAGAAATCATACTTGATCAACCCTATCCAACCAATAATATTCACTTTTATTAAAATCTTCTTTTCCTTTAGAACTAATTTGAATTAAATGTATTAATTAATGCTCGCATTAATTAGACATATCAAATATGTAATACTTCATTGTAATTTTTTGATTTTACTAATTTATTCTGCTAGTTTGATTCGACCAAAAAAGTGATATAATTTTATAAATATTAAGCGTTAAGTGCGTTTATTAAACCTAAATTGAAGTATTTATACGTAATTCCAAAATACAATTTGTTAACAAGAGATAAAGTTTTCAACTGTTTTAGAATGTTATACGATAATAATACTGAAGTGTAAACATCCTAAGTCACTGCGTTGGTAAGAATCAAAAATAATTGTTAAAATAAGTAATCAATATTATTGGATCAATATGCTTAGTTTCTTAAAAATAGTACTTACAATTTATATAGTAGTGATAGTAATGTTAAGGTAAGTATCATTAAAAATTAAGAATTTAAAAATGATTGTTTATCAAGGCTTTAAAACATGTATTTTAAAGATAAATTTTAGTTAAAAGAGATAATAAAAGGAAACATATTATTTTAGGATGAATCATTTTTTTATATCTATAATTGCGAACAACATAAATTTTAAGTTTCCATTAACTTAGATTAATATCAAGTACTTGAATCTAAATCATCCATCTATTTTGTGAACAGAAATAATAGTAAAGTATTGAGAGGAGTTGAATTTTCAACAGACTTTATTTAAAACTTCAAAATCAAATTTAATGAAACGATTACAAGCTTTTAGCAATTTTAATAAAGTATAGTAATTTTTACAAACAGCTCTAATTTGCCTTATATTATATTAATGCCGTCTTAGCAAATTTCCTTAGAGAATTATCTATCAAAAAATCTGTATTAGCCTGGACCTATTCTATTCTATTTTGAGTTCGGAAACTAAAGGATTATTCAATATGAAAAGATTTTAGCAACCCAAAATTACGAAAATTTAGGATTTTATCAATTCCCTGATTCATTAATTATTTCTATTCAAACTAGTAATATAATTGACCGTCACTTTATAGTTGCGATACAAAACTCAACTAGATCTTTAATTGTAGATTATTTATACGATTAATAACTACATCAAATATCAAATTACACTTTTGAGGCCTATTCATTTTATTATCCTTTTAAGTACAAAATAAATATCCAAAACATAGCAATTTTAATTGAATAAAATAATTCACTATATATTGCCATTTTTTAATATAATGTATCAATGTCATCATTAATTGAAATTATTTAAACTGATGATTCCTTTTTTTCATTTGATTCTGGTAGCTTATTTTATTCCTTTAATAAAGTATGGAGGTATTCATACTTAAAAACATTTTTTGTGGAATTAGAGATAGAAAAACCTCATTAAAATGCTTTGTCTTCAAACTTTTCAATAAATTTAAATGAGGGTCTTTAATTACAGATTTAAATTGAAAATCGATGCTTTGAGTTGCATTCTGTCATGAAATCATCTAGAATTGAAATTTTTAATAAAAAAAGTTTAAAATTAAATATTTCCTAGATTTTTTATGGTCCAATTAGTAATTTGACACTCCTAAATAATTCAAACATTATTTTGAAGGGACCTTTTTAATTTAAGTAGGCACTTGCAATTTGTATAGAATAAACCTCAACAATCTGCTTTAGAGAATATCATTATAATAACAAAAGTTTTACAGTATTGTTTAAGGAAAATAATATGTTTGATGTAATTACAAGATATTCATAAAATGATTATTATGTAACTTGGATGAAATAGTAATATTATCTTTGTACTTCATTCTTATTTAGTTAATTAATTATTGAATTAATTGAGTGTTCAGACAATTAAAGTGGAGATTGTAAAGTGGTCTCAAGATTAGATGACAATTTCAAAATTAATTATTTTAATATTGCAGACATAATAAGAGTTGGTAATATATTAAGAATCAAAGACAACAAGAATAAAGCATTTATTTTTATTGATGATATCCATTTTAATATATAAATGTTACCTGATTTTATAATAGATATCTAATATATTGAAAAATCTAATAATTAATATCTCATCCTATAGATTAATGAAGATTCAAAGGATTTAGAATTTTCTATATACTCGATCAATTTTCATTAGAAATAGTAGATATACTCATTTTCAATTAATCAAAAAAATTATGCCGATTTGATATAAAAAGGAATGCTTGTTTAAATGAAATTAGTCTCATGTAAATATTCTAGAGATTTGCTTAATATTAAACTTCTCATTGTGGGTTAATCTTTTTCATAACTATTTTTACTAAATTTAGATTAATAGAAGAATTAAATTGAATTCTAACCATAAGCCAAGTTTAGAAATTCCATCCTTTAAAATGATTTTGAAATCGCAGATTTTGTGATTTAATATATAGACGATACTATATTGGTGTTAAAATAAAATGAGAATATTTTCTTTCAATTTTATGAATTTGAAAATGAAAGAAAGTTCTATGACTATTTTCATAAATCTTAATTTTCAATGTAAATACTCAGATTAAATACTACTCATTTAATTTTCTATGACCTTTTATAGATATAATTAGGAAAAATTGAATATGAGTTAGAAATATAAAATTGCGATGAAAATGAATACAATTTTTAATTACTCGCCTAAAATGAGATATCAAATGAAAAAGTATCCATGTAAATAAAGATTAATTAAATTGAAACAAATTAATAGCTTATGAATAGTATTTTAGGAGTTTAAATATCATGCTTTGTTTTCATACTTATATACACAAGAAAGAATAAATCTAAATCTAGGAATAGCAACCAAAGTAGTCGATTATGAGTGAAATCTGTTTTGTATAAATTTAATAATGAGTAATAATTATAACAATAAATTGATGTATTGTTTTTCAAAGTTAAATATATAATCTATTTTTCTATTGATAAATTTTATTTCACAGTTATTTAATGGGCTATCAAAGGTTAATTAATTGAAATAAGAAATGAAATTTGAGATCAGAGTAGAATTCAAATAATTTGATCAATTATCTTAGTAAAAACATAGTAAAGAGGAATTTCCTTAACAAAGGTTGTTAATTATTTATCATATAAGACCTACCTATTCTCATTTTTGAAAGAGGAAATGGATTAAAATCAGTATGTCAAGTAATTTAAATTTGATGAAGAACAAAAATTTTTGTGAAAAAAAATATATAATTAATAAAATGAATCTCTTTAATTTAAATTGCAACAGTAAGACCAAAATATACATCATTAAGAAGATGGAGACTGCATAAGAAGATGATTTAGAGATTGTTTTTAAACTAATTTCTCGCAGTAAAAAAATTATGTTTACGAAAACAAATTAACATTTATTCCTGCAATAGCAATAAGTTCAATTATAAAGATTAATCTACTTGCAAAAAAATTAGTGATAAACGGTTTGCATGTTTACAAAAAGAACCATTATAAAATTCGCTTTTAATATATACATTATTTAACTTCAATTAAACTTAATTGAGTAAATTATATAAAATAATTGAGTACGAATATTTTCCTACTGTAGTATATGATAATAAACTAATATCATTCATATATCTATTTTTATAATGAAGAACTCTGCATTCATTTTTTAGCGAATAGTTTTATATAAGAGTTATCATGGGTATTAAAGGATTCTATAACCTTAAAAGTGTTAATTTATGTTTATTATGCTCTTTTTCGATTTAAATGACTCTTTACACCAAAATGCAATTAAGACACCTAAAATTAGAGATCGATTTAGCCAGCATAGCAGAATTATGTTATTTAGAATTTTTTAGTAGTTGAAGAAAAATAAATTTTACTAATAAAATTAGTGTTTGACAATAATTGAAGAATAATGTCAAAAAGTTATATTAATCTACCACATTATAAACTAATAAATTTATTATTATTATATAATATTATTTTTATCTTTTATTTTTGATGAAAGAGAAAATCGACAAAGAGTTTAATAATCCTCTTACAGTATATTTCCGACCTAAATATCCGGTTAATGCTTGGCCAACCTTTTAGGGCCT